CTTCCCAGTGGTGTGGATGCCCCATGAGTACTGTGGGCCTCACTTTCCTCATCTGTAAAGTGGGCTAATAATCCCCTATCCTGGTGACTGGTGTGAGAATTAAGGGCAAAAACATATCCAAAGTGTCCAGGATGGCGTCCGGCAAGCACAAATGCAAAGTGAATAGCGACTAAAGACACAGGATCTGGGTCCAACTTTGGAGAAGAGGAATCTGGAAAGGGAAGGCAGCTCATCCAGCCATTTCTTCATTCATTCATTCAACATTTAGTGCTTACTATGTGTCAGGCACTACGTAGGCACTGGGGTACCAATGGGAGTAAGTCCTCCCTGGCTCACGGGCCACTGGAGGAGAAGGTGAGGCAGGTTTTCAAGGCACTAATGATGCAGCGGAAGTAGGAACCTCTCACGGTGTGGCCCATGGGCACCTGGCAGGGTACTCTGGACCCCCAGCCTGCAGCAGCAGGCTCATTCCAGCCCCCACCACCTGGTTTTATGTCCCCACCCCCTCATCAGTCTGGTTCCAAACACTGGTGGATGTGAGTTTACAACTGCAAGATCTTCGTGAGTCTAGCAACTTAACAGCAACAACAGCAACAAGGCAGCTTCCATTCTGGAGAACGTAACCATTCACCAGATATTATGTCAAGCACAATGCATAGATTATCTCATTTAAGTTTTGAGGCAAACCTTTGAGGGATATGCCAAACTGATGTCAGCCAACCTGGGTCTGAGTGCAGGGTGACCTGGATACATTACTGAACCTCTCTGAGACCGAGTTTCCTCCTTGTTTCTAAATGGGATGATAATGGTACCTAAGACACAGTACCAGGCACATGCCAATGACATTAGTATTGTTCTTAGATGCCAGCTGGGCACCAGGCAGCCCCTGCAGTGCTGTAGTGTAGGCTTAACCGACTTGTAGAATAGAAAGAAGGGACCAGACTTTCTATATCAGAGTAATGAGAAAATTGGCATTTCTTAGCATTATTTCTAAGCCATTATGAGGAATTCAATGATCTGTGCTAATGAAGACAAATGAACACCACATGGGAATAACTTTAAGCACCAGCTTCAAACTTGTCCTGAATTTGGGCTCTGGGAATAATCCAACTGCCTGAAAAATGTTGCTTTTTATCCTTTCGCTCTCCCATGTGCTCTCCGGTGGAGGGGCTAGGAAAGGCTGGAAGGGGAGCAAGGGGGCTCACGCTGTGATGGGAGCAATGGGAAGACTTGCATTACCCTGCTTTAGTTTTCCATCATAGAACCTCTCACTTTCTGATAATTGCAGTTGGTTTTCTGCTTTTCCCCTAGGCTATAATCTAAGCTCCACGACAGTGGTGGCTTTGTTTGGTTTGCTGCTGTGTCCCTGGCTCCCAGCACAGTGTCTGGCACATAAGAGCACATGCTCAATGACTATGAATGCATAAGTGACATACTAAAGTAGTCGCTCTAAACCCTGACTATGATTCTGCAGCACTGGTGGCCTTTTATAAAATCTAAGTTCCAAAATTCTCTATCCTGGACATTTTGATTCAGAGAAGCTGGCATGGGGCCCCAAAAAGAGCATTTCTTAATATCTGTCTATATCTCTGAAAGGATCCATAAGAAATTAGTAATATCTATTGCTTATTGGTATGGGAATTGGGCAGATGGGGGACATGGCTAAGAGGGAAACTCTTAACTGAGGATCCCTTTCTATTTTTTTATTGTGAATAAGTCATATGTTATATCATACCTATTCATAAAATAAAATAAAATTTAAATTAAAAAATAAAAATTTTAGTCCAGGTGATTCTGATATGCAGCCAGGGTTGAACATCACCTGTTTAAGGACAAATTGGTATTTCAGGAAGGATCTGAGGGCCGGGCGCAGTGGCTCACGCCTGTAATCCTAGCACTCTGGGAGGCCGAGGCAGGAGGATCGCTTGAGCTCAGGAGTTCCAAAAGAGCCTGAGCAAGAGTGAGACCCCGTCTCTATCAGAAATAGAAAAAAAATTATCTGAGCAGGGTGGTGCGTACCTATAGTTCCAGCTACTTGAGCCCAGGAGTTTGAGGTTGTAGTGAGCTATGATGAAGCCACCTCACTCTAGCCTGGGCAACAGAGCAAGACTCTGCCTCAAAAAAAAAAAAAAAAAAGGGTCTGGGATTGGACAGCACTGTTAATAGGGGAGCTGCCTGCTCCGTTGGAGCAATGGGCATGACTGCAGCAGGCTGGGAGGGGAATTTACTCCACCAGGCATGCTGGGTCCCATAACCAAGTGGGGAGGCTGAGTGGGTGCTGTTATCTGTCATAGCAGGTGCTCAGGGATCTCGAAGTCCCGTGTCTGAGTAAAATAGGAAAGAACTTTCCTGCTCTGAGATAGCCAAGCACTCAACAAGAAGCTAACAGGTCCAGCCTTATTTGGTGATGACCAAAGGCTTACAAAAAGTCACGTGAATTTTCTTTTTGTTTATCAGATTGGCAAAGACTAAAAGAAATAATGCCTAGCATTGGGGAATGCATGGAGAAACAGAGTCTCATACACTGTCTGTAGAATATGGTGCTACAGCCTTCTTAGACAGCAATTTTGAAATTCAGATCCAAATCCTTAAAGGTATTTACATGATATCATTGGGCATAATAATTCTGAATTTATCCTATGGAAGTATTCAGCTGAGCGAGCAAATTAATACACATAAAGATGTTTATCATAATATTTATAATAGTGATTTTATCAGTTAAAAACTATAAACAATATAATAGCCCACTGATATAAGATCATTTAAATTAAGGTACAGTCATCCTTTGGCATCTGCAGGGGGCTGGTTGCAGGACCCCTGTGACTACCAAAATCCAAAGATACTTGAATCCCTTATATAAAATGGCCTAGTGTTTGCATATAATATCTATGCACATCCTGCCATATACTTTAGTCATCTCTAGGTTACTTATAATACCTAACACAATGTAAATGCTATGTCAATATTTGTCATACTATGTATTTTATTTGTATTATTTTTTATTGTTGTATTATTATTTTTATTGGATTTTTTTCTCAAATATTTTTAATTCATGGTTGGTTGAATCCTGGGATGTGGAACCCATAGTTACTGAGGGCTCATTGTACATCTACACAAATGGAAGGGTTTTTTACCATCCAAAATGTGAAAGAAATCATAATATAATATTAGACATGACAGGTTCACTCACAAAACTTGGGGCCATTTTTATAAAATAAATATATGTATATATGCCTGGAAAAGGGTATATAAACTTGATATAAACTAGAATATTAAAAATAATTACATGAAATATAATCTTTTAAGATTGATTTGTGCAGGTGTACTTCATTTTATTGTACTTTGCTTTATGTACTTCCTGGATTGTGCATTTTTACATATTGAAGGTTTATGGCAACCTTGTGTTGAGCAAGTCTATTGGTACTATTTTTCCAATAGCATGTGCTCACTTTGTCTCTGTGTCACATTTTGATAATTCTTTTAATATTTCTAACTTTTTCATTATTATTATATCTGTTATGGTGTTCAGTGATCTCTGATGTTACTGTTATAATTGTTTCTGGGCATCATGAACCATACCCTTAGGAGACGGTGAACTTAATTGATAAATGTTGTGTGTGTTTTGATTGTTCTATCAATAGGCTAGTCCCCTGTCTTTCTCCCTTTTCTCTGGCCACCCACTTCCTTGAGACACAACAATGTTGCAATTAGGCCAATTAAGAACTCTACCATGGGCCGGGCATGGTGGCTCACGCCTATAATCCTAGCACTCTGGGAGGCCGAGGCGGGCGGATTGCTCGAGGTCAGGAGTACGAAACCAGCTTGAGCAAGAGTGAGACCCCGTCTCTACTATAAGTAGAAAGAAATTAATTGGCCAACTAATATATATAGAAAAAATTAGCTGGGCATGATGGCGCGTGCCTGTAGTCCCAGCTACTCGGGAGGCTGAGGCAGCAGGATTGCTTGAGCCCAGGAGTTTGAGGTTGCTGTGAGCTAGGCTGACGCCACGGCACTCACTCAAGCCTGGGCAACAAAGCGAGACTCTGTCTCAAAAAAAAAAAAAAAAAAAAAAAAGAACTCTACCGTGGCCTCTCGGTGTGCAAGTGAAAGGAAGAGTCACACATCTCTCACTCTAGATCAAAAGCTAGACTTGGTTAAGCCTAGTGAGGAAAGCATGTCAGAAGCCAAGATAGGCCAAAAGGTAGGCCTCTTGCACCAAACAGTTGGCCAAGTTATGAATGCAAAGAAAAAGTTCTTAAAGAGAATTTAAAGTGCTACTCCAGCACTTTGACACACAAATGATATAGGAAGTGAAACAGCCTTATTGCTGATGTGGAGAAAGTTTTAGTGGTCTGGATAGAAGATCAAACCAGCCACAACAAACATTCTCCTAAGCCCAAGTCTAATCCAGAGCAAGGCCCTAATTCTCTTCATTCTGTGAAGGCCAAGAGAGGCGAGGGGCTTGCAGAAGAAAAGTCTGAATCTAGCGGCATCTGATTCATGAGGTTTAAGGAAAGAATCCATCTCCATCACATGAAAGTGCAAGGTGAAGCAGCAAGTGCTGACGGAGAAGCTGCAACAAGTTATCCAAAAAATCTAGCTATCATTTTCTGTTCTGTATAATATAAACAGCCATGGGGTAATTGCATTTAAACTTTTAAAAAGTGTATATTAACTTAATTGCCTTCAGAAATGAGTTGTGCTATCGGCTGGTCAATGAGTTATTGTACAGCCATTTTATCCTTTCAGTCTAATTAATTTATATTTTCTGAATAAAGCACCCAGGTTAGCTCTTGATTGTAGTTGTGGAGGTTTTATCCTTTGAAATATAGTTGTTGTATGGGACTTTCTATCTTTTTTTTTTTTCAAGCTATTAAAAAAAAAATCTAACTGATTGTCAGAATCCTATATTGGCTCAGAAATTCCCAAATTTATGACATCATCCAGAGTGAGCCAATGGGCAGAGTTTGAAGTAGGTAAACATACGGCCCTTCTACCTTCCTTGACTCAAGGGGGTTGGGAAGTGTTCAGTCTGGGTATCAATCCTGGTCTTCCCATTTAGAGAGCTGTGCGCCTTTGGGTGAGTCATAAAAACTTCTCAGAGCCTCTGATTCTTAAGAGGAGAAATAGGGACCATCCCAGTGCTCATCTCACAGGAACATAAATTTGCTCCTTCCTTGAGGCAGGCCCAGCACCACGATGCTTCCAGAAAAACAACAAACTCATATTATAACTCTTGACAAGGGTGGTGGTGGTTTTACACAAGGTGGTATGAGCAAACCTTCCTAAATCCTCTTAAAATACCACACTCCCCAAAGTCCCAGGCATCCTGTTATCTCTCCTTTGCAATTTCTTATTTCTGTCACCCACCCTCTGAGCACCTGTCTGTGATCCCCTCTTTCCTCTTCCTGTAGCTCTTCTTTCTTCTGGGCGTAACTCTGAGACATCTCTTCTGCTTTTTCATTAACCCCGTTTCCTCAAAAAGAGCTTAGGAGCACAGGAGCTCAAGCACAGAATCCTCTTTAGAAAGTGGAGGGACAAGAAAGGCTGTGAACACCCTTCTCCAACACCTGTCTCTTACTTGCTGCTGTTTATAAAGTGCCTAGTGCTGTGCCTGGCACAAAGCCATTGCCCAATAAATTTGAATTCTCTTCTCTCTTCCTTCCGGATTCTTTTTTGCTCTCTGCCTCTCCCTCCGCTCCCCAAATCTAGTGGAGTCCAGTGCCCTCAATTTTCCTCTGTGTCACCCCATCCAAGGTTGTGCATTGGGACTGTGTCCCAGGGTCCAAAGTTCTCTTTCTAGGTGTCCTCAGTTCTTTATCTGCAGTTACTTGTTTGGAGGAAAGAAAGAGGGTTCATAGCTGTGAGTTTAAAGCTAATCCCTGACTGTGGCAGGGAAAAAGAACTTTCAGTTTGGGAGCCTGAAATTCTGGGCTCCAGTTAACACTGGTCAGGCTTTTGTTGCAAACAACAAAATCGACTTTTGTTATTTTAAGCACGAAAGAGATTTATTTAAAGGTAGGTCCTTTAAATAAATTCTGGGACCTTTAGGTAGGTCCCAGAATCTGAGGAGGTTTGGAGAGCTCTGAAGCTGGGATCAGCGCCAGGGAACTGCTACGGCAGCAGAACCAGCATCTCTGGACACCGGCCCCACTGGGGCCAGACCCCAGAGCATCTGCCATTGCAGCACCCAAAAGAGCGGACACCCCCATTGGCACACTTGCTTCCCCAGCATGAGAACACCTCTTTAGAGCGCCTATTTCTGAATCTAGACCATGTGTGCATCTAATTGGTGGGAGCTAAGTCATGTCTGCAATGAGCTACAAAAGGAATCTGGGAATGTGAGATATTTTTGGAATGGCAGGGCTCATAGTGTGAAAAATTACCAAAGGGGAAGGGGTTGAGAGGTTAGGGAGCCACAGTGACAAATTGCCTATACCCCATCTCTCTCCCTTGATATTCGCTGGCTGTGCCACTGTGAGGCAGATCCCTCTGAACCTTAAGTGTCCTTATCTATAAAATGATCAACACCAGGTGAGAGGGGCAGTCATGGGATGAAGAAACTATGTCCCCTGTGTCTGGATTCTAACCATTAAAGTATAGTTCAAGACACCAGACAGGACCAGTGCCAACTTTGGAAGTGTCTCTGACCAGTGATCACTAAGCCCAAGTGCAAAGCTCTCTTTGGTGACTTCTGAGTTGGGGAATGTGGTGGGACCGCATGACTCTTCCGGAAATGAATACACCCAGTCCCGGGTCTGGGCAGCTTTGGGATGTGCCGGTCACAGGTGGAACAGCTGGAGAGTGGCTGGCCTTGTAAACGCAGGAATCAGGAAACGTGAGCTCCCATTGCACCTGGGAGTCCGAGGTGACCAGCAGGTCGTGCTGATTTCCAGATGCGCTCCAACTGTGCACTGTGCCAGCTCAGCTGAGCCACACGAGGAGGCAGGGCTAGAGGCTGCATCATTATATGAACACGTCTTCTCGTGCCTGGCACTGAGGGATGTGAGGGGTGAAGGGGAAACAAGGTTTGAAACAGAGCCAGAAGCTACTCTGTGTAAAAATTATTCCAGTCACCGAATGTACAAAGTTATAAGTGGTGTATTCCGTTTTCATTAATATGTAGTCAAAATGCAAGTACTCTCCTGGTGGGATTAAATTCTATAACTCAATGTACACAATTATAAATGGACCTTATTTTTTCCTTTTATTGATGAGACTTGGACAAAATAGAACTTACGAGAACTTCTATGTTTGTAGGACCCAAATCTATAGCAGTACTTCAAGGATGGAGTGCATCTTTATGTGAAGTCCCATGTTTTATGTACTCCAGAGTATCAGATTGGCCCTTAGTGTATCTGACCCAAAATGTTCTGATGAAATCTAATGACTCCAGATGAAGCAGTCTGAAGGAACCACGGAATGTTAAAGGCCTTGGGTACTAGTTATCCTGGGATGCCCACCAACACCAGACAGGGGTCTCCTTTATTCCAGAGTGTAGACAACTCAACTTGATGAAATATAATGCAATGTATTTCAATTCATCAAATGTGAAGAAACAGTAATATGAGGTGGTCACTAGTTCAGATTTAGGGAGTGGGGAGCCTGGAGAGTTCCTGACTTCAAGGATCTGGGTTAAGAACCCTTTGGAAATAAATGCAAATCACTATTGTTATTGTTACCTCCAAGCTGGTTAGTGCTGAAATCTAAGAGGGAGCTGAGGATCACCGTGAAGAAAACTCTCTCTCTCCTTCTACCAGGCGCAAACCCTATCATCTTGCAACCACCCTGGGTGACTGTCATTGCAGCCCAACTGTCACATGAGCTAATTATAGTTTGATACTGACTAATTGTGGCATGGAACAGAAGACTAGGAATGAAACAGGCCAGGGCTCTGTGTGTGTGTGTGGGGGGGGGGGCATGTGCTTGCATTCTTGGGTGTATATAGGCCAGCAGTTGATGGAACAACAATTAAATAATGCTGTCAATCCATCCACTGTGATGACAACTATGCATTTCTGATGCATGACAGATGGTTCTTTAGAAAACAAGCCCAAGAATTCCAGAGAAATTAAATGAGCTCTTGAATGACAGAAGAAACCTGGTGTTAGAGGAAAGCTGCTCTCCCACATCCCCTGGCCTCTGCCTCTTTGATCTGGCCTGTGCCCCAGGTCCTGGCCACTGTCTGCCACACCACAGTGGTGTACCACAACCTGCCCTATCTCTGGTCTACCTGGTGAACTTTCAAGCCTCCAATTTTACCTATTCCCACCTTTCTTCTTACCACCTAGAAATTTAATGCTAGTATGATTAATTGCTTTCAAAATAATGAGTCTCACAAGTAACAAAATAAAGGCAATTTTTGAGAAGTGACACACCATATTTCACTTACTTAAAAAAGATAATACTCCATGATACTAGAGGTATGGAGGGCTGCTGGTGTTGCATAATTTGCTATAATCTTTCTGGATCTCTGGAGAGCAATTGGCTGCATTTTTTAGAAGCCTTAACATGTACATACCCTTTAAGTTAGTAATGTTGTGTCCAGAAATTTAGCGTAAGGAAATAATTAAGAATATGACAAATGTTTAGCTACTTGGATATTTACTTCAGTGTTATTCATAGTAGAAGAAATCTACTGGGGGAGAAGAAACACTGTATGTCTAATCACAGATAATTGATTTAGTCAAAGCAATGTCGTTCAGTGTGATAGACTGCTATATAGCCATTTAAATGATAATATGAGCTATGTTAATTTGTATGAAAAGGCATGCCATTAAAAGCGGGTTATAAAACAAGGTGGCAGGGTTTTACTTCCAGGAAAATTGAGTAAATTCACATCTCTCTGTTCCTCCCATTGAGTACAATCAAAGGCCATAGACATGATATATATTTATAAAAAAAAAAAAGAGAGGACTTGGAAAGGTGAGGGGAAAATGGCGGGCTAGAGAGGGACTTAGCACCCAAAAAATGACACTATAATGAGTCCCCATTTTTGTTTTTTATTATTTTCTTTTGTTGTTTTCTTTGTTTTGTCTCATATATCCCGGAGTTGAGCTGATAAAGCCAACAATTTGTAAACACCATTGGCCAAAGACATGAAAAGGCACAAGAAAAACCTGCTCTCTCTATCCAAACAGAAGCAATTTAGCAAAACAGAAAACCTTTAGGCACTAACTACTCTACTCCTGCCAGACATCATAAACTGCAGCCTCATCAGCAAAGGCCAGATAGGGAGCCTAGATTTCCACACTCAACCAGCTCTACACAGGTTCCCCAATACCCCTGCCAGAATGGTGTCAGAAAAGGCCAAGTAGGAGGTTTTGTTCCCATTTTATACCCAAACCAAAAGCACGAATGAGTTTGCTCAAGTCTCACTGCTGGTACAATTCATGTGCTGCTGAACTACTTTTCTCAGTGCACCACAGTGAAGCCAACACTCTTTTGCTGGCCTTGGTCGGGTCTGTCTCAGGGAGAGAGAGGAGTGAAGTTCTCAGAGCTGGCAGCAGGGTGGGGCTTGGGAAAGGCTTTGCACATTTCCACAGCTTTCTCTCCCAGCATGAATGAATCATCCCTTCTTTATGGCCCTCTGTGCTCACATCGCTCTTCTACTCACATAGAAGAGATTGCTTTCAGGAATAAGTCTACTATCAATTACACACTATCTCAGTGTGTATTTGTCCCTGTGTTTTCTCATCCATGGGCCTCTGGAAATAAAGCCCTAGTTATCCTGTATTAGGAAGGACCATGCCCTCCATTATAGGGATTGGGGTCTCCAAAGAAAACAAGTGCATATTGGGGTGGTACTTGAATTTCTAGAATCCCTTGCATCCAGGTTGTCCTGGGTCCAGGAAGCTAACTGCCAGTTGAATACAGAAGGCTATTATTTAAGGCAGAAGGAGGACTGCTCCAGGGCTTAGCAATTATGCCTTCTTATGGAAAAGACTGATTCTGTTAGTCATTCCTGTTAGGTTTACAGGTATAACTTCTTTCCAAAGTAAGAAGATGTTAGTCATTCACCTAAGGGCCAAAGATAGATTCCTATGAGGGATATCATTTTTTTTTAAAGTTTTTCTTTTAATTAAAATAATAAAACTCTTTGTTAAAAATTAAACAATATATTTCCAGTTTTGGCTTCACCATGTAAGAGCTTGGAAGTCATCACTCTCACCTTTATAAGAAAAAAGCTAAACAAATTGAAAATCGGTGCCTTTTATTGGACTTAACCAAAAGTTGAGGACACAAAGCAAACAGCCACTCTGAAGTCTGGAGAGACAGATGAACCTGGAGAGTCAAAGCCCAAATTATGCTTACCTAGAGCAGCAGCCCCTGGGGGTCATACACTGAAGGGGACCCTTAAATGGTAATTTTGACAAGTTTCTGGAGGCTCAGTGTGGACCAGCTTGAGAGTGATAAACTTCTGGGGGCCACAGTCTTGGGAGGGTACATTTTCATGGGTTTTACTCCCAGAAACCCTTGCTGGCATCCATGGCAAAGATCCAAAAAATTATTCCCTGTGGCTTTGGCAGTGAGAGGGAAGTAATCATTTTGTTCCCAGAGCATTCTCCATAACAAAGGCCTAGCCAGCAAGAAAAAAGACTTTGCCAGACACTTACTCCACCTGGGAGAAGGGCATCTGCCAGACTCCAGCCCCCTGTAGCCTTTCAATTTCTCCCAAAGTGGTGGGAAGAGCAGTGAGCTAAGAAACACTTGTGAATGTCACAGCCCAGGGACACCTGTCCACTCAAAGACTGAGACTTAATAAGATTATAGAATGCTTCCCCTCTCTCACACATCATCACCACATCAACAGGACTTTAGTATAACAGCAGTGGGTTATAGCTGAAGGAGCTTCAGGGCACAGGCTCTATTTTAGGAGGAGTTCTCAGGGAAGCCTGCAGATCATATGGAAGACAAACATAAGAGCACTGGAGGAGTTTGAAGCTTCTGGCACCTACAGCTGCAGCACCACAGGCTAATTCCTAACCAGATTAACATAAAACATCATCACACTAAAGGTCTACTTACCTCAGTTTCTATTACTCAATACATCATGTTCAGCTTTTAACAAAAAATTATAGAGCATGCCAAAAGTCAGGAAAAACACAGTTTGATAAGACAAACATCAGAACAAGAGTCAGATATGACACAGATGTTGGAATTATCAGACCAGCAAATCAAAATAACTATGATTAATATGTTAGTGGCTCTAATGGAAAAAGCAGACAACATGCAAGAACCGATGGGTAATGTAAGGTAAGAGATGAGAACGCAAAGAAAGAATGTAACAGAGATGAAAAATTCCCTTGATGGATTCATCAGTAGGCTGAACATGGACAAGGAAAGATTCAGGATGAAGACAGGTCAATAAAAACATCTCATGGTTAAATGCAAAGAGAAAAAAATGAAAAAGAACCCCAAACAGAAAGAACATCCACGAATTGTGGGTAATTTTCAAAAGATATAACATACACATAATTGGAAGACCAGAAAGAGAAGAAAGAGATAATGGAAGAGAAGAAATAATTGAAAAAATAATGGCAAGAACTTTCCAAAATTGACAGACACCAAACCATAGGTCCAGGAAGCTCAGAGAATACCAGGCAGAATAATTTTGAGAAATCTCCATCTAATCTATTTTATTTAAACTGCAGAAAAACTAAAGCAAAGAGAAATTCTTGAAACAAACCAGGAGAGAAAAAACACACCTTACCTATAAAGGATTAAGAATAAAAATTATAGCAAACTTCTCATCAGAAACTATACAAACAAGGAAAGCATGGAGTGAAATATCTAAGTGTCGAAAAAACAAGCAAACAAACAAACCCAGCAACCTAGAATTCAGAATCCAGCAAAATTATCCTTCAAAAGAAAAAGAGATACAGCTTTTCTCAGACAAATAAACAGAAATGGAGGTAATTCATCACCAGCAGAACTGCTCTGCAAGAAATGTTAAAACAAATCCTTCAGAGAGAAGGAAAATGGTATAGATCAGAAACTCCAATCTACATAAAGAAAGAAAGAGCATTAGAGAAGAAACAAATAAAGGTAAAATGAAATATTTCATTTTTCTCATTCTTAATTTATCAAGAAGTAACTACGTGTTTAAAGCAATAATAGCAACAATGTATTGGATGATTATAACATACGGATAAATGAACTGAATAACACCAACGTTACAATGGATGGAGGGTAGAACTGGAAATACTTTGTAATGAGGTATCTATGCTACACAGGAAGTTGTATAGTGTTATTTGAAGTGAGATTTAGATTAATTATAAATGTGTGCTGCAAACTCTAGGTTAACCACTAAAATTTATTTAAAATTAAATAATAGACCTGCATGAAGTAAGAGCTAAACACTCCGTCCCCTACAGCTCATAACACCACTCCTGCAGGGTAGTCACTATTTATAATCTGGTGTGCAGTATTCAGGGTACACTGGAGTGGGATCACTTCACATATATTTTTCTGTACCTTCCTCATTTTTCCTCATTCAACATTATGAGGGACATTCTTCCATGCAGGTATATTTCTGAGTGGGTCTTGGTGGAAGGATCTGGGGACACCTAGCCAAGCTATTAGGTCCCCTTGAGAACAGTAGTGATGGGTACATATCGCAACCAGAGGGAAAACAAATGACCAGTGGCAGGAGATGCCCTCTTGACTGTTTAGAGGTCCCGGATTTGGTGAGGCAGAGAATGAACAGTACTGTGATCAAGGCAGGAGTCTGAAGGCTTTGTCTAAGCAGGTGTCTTGGGAGGAATTAATTCACCTCTCTGAGCTTCACCGAGCAGGTTTTCATCTCTCAATGCACAAATTCTCTGTGATGCTTTAGTAACATCCTGTATATGTAACATCCTTTTTAGGGGTCACCCAGCCTCTGCCTGACCCTTGCAGCGATAGGCAGTGGGGGAAAGTGAGGCTTCAGCAGGGGTCCACTAAGCTGTCCCTGGTATTGGTGGCAGAGCGGGAGACACTGGATGAGCACTGAGAACAACAGCAGAGGCCAAGAAGGCTGACGGCTGTCACGACAAGGAGCAGTGAGTCCCACTGGGGAATGAGGGTGCAACGAGAGGGATGGGGGATTGGAGTTGAACTAACATGGGAAGGTGGGTTTCAGATCCCAAAATTTAAAGGAATTGTCCGAGCCCTCCACGGTTATGCAGAAGGGCCACGCTCAGATGAGAAGAAAGCATTTGCTCCTCAGTTCCCTCTGAAGTACCAAAGCTACCTCCAGCTTTGGAAAACGTGCTGTTTTCCGTGGGAGTCAGCAACCTTACAGTGGGTCGAGAGCAGTTTCCATTCTATGATGCTGCCAGGAGAAAAACAAAACAGTCAGCTCTCTCAGCAGGGGACCCTCAGCACCTGCAAAGTCGTGGACAGGCAGGGTGCAAACATACCCCTGTATACGTGTATGTGTAAACACGGACTCTGGGTAATTAGCTGTCTCCGGTTTCCTGGAAGGTTCATGCTTTTTGATTCAGTTGGTTGTCTGGGAAATAGTCCAAATCTTTCTTTGCCAGGCGCAGAGGTGGGAGAAGCAGAATTAGCATGCCACCCTATTTCCCAAAGAACCGATGGAAACAGATTTTCAGTGAGATTTCCGAGCCATTTTTAAAATTTGTATTTTAACTTTCACATGGACCTGTAGAATAAATGCATTCATTCTTGAGAAAGTGGCACTTTTTTTTTTTTTAAAGAAGCCTCAAACCCAAAATGGAAACTCTCGTTTTAAATTTGATGCTGGCGTATCACCAACAACCACTGGATGTGCCAATCCCAGGATGTGCTTGAATAGAGTTTTTAGTTAAAGCATGTGGTTTTAGTTGTGGCATATTTTAAAATGTTGAATAATTAACAAGAATTTGGCTTGGGGAAATCTAAATGTGTTGACTACAGAACATTTTTAGAAAAGAATTCTGATGCCTTTAAACAGGCACTTGCTGGGACTGGGAAAATCCCCTCTCATCTGCCACGTGGAAGAAAAAATTTACTAATAAGGATAATACTATGTCAGTAATTTATTGAGCACCTACTATAAGCCAACCACTTGAGATTTATTATTTCTAATCTTTATGTGGCAGGATGTTAAAAGGAGACTCTTATTGACTGAGTTTTTACTAAAGCGTCAATATGCTGGGGTTGAGGATGGTGAATGTGGGTGAGACTCCCACATGCAGGATTTACAATGGCAGTGAAGAAGAACCTGTTTTGTCTGTTGACTGCCTTCCCTGGTTTGAAGTTATGAAAGGTTGAGAGAAGATTGGTAAAGAGAGCGAGGGTGTGTCAGCCTCAAGCCTAGTGAGGGCTGCTTTGGGAGACTCTAATAGACCTTGGAATCTCTTCCCTGCAGCCTTACCCACTGGCCAGGCCAGAGAGCTGTCACCCAGTAAGCAAGAATCATCCTCCCTCCCAACCTCCACCTCCCATCGCCTGGTCTCATCCAGCAGATCTGAAGCCCCAGCTCTGATCAGGAGAGAGTGCACAGGAGACAGCAGAGAGCAGAAGGACCAACCTCCCCTTCCCCACTGCCCTGTTCACTGAAGCAAGCCTGAGCTTGGAGGGGCAAAGCTTTAAATCTAAGTCAAGTTTAGAGTTTGGATCATTAAAAAGAACTGGACTTTTAAATTGCTGAATTGTGACTGTGTTTGCAGCCTTAAGACTGTCACCTGTCCAGGTGTGAGCAGAAGAGGCTGCTGACTGGTCACTCACAGGCACAGGGAGGCCACCCTCCTCCCCACGCTCTCTCCCCATCCCCACTCCCACCCCAGGAATAAAGTTGAAAGGAATGCGAGAATAAGCACGAAATTGCATTTGATCCCAATGCACCATCATGCTCATTCAGTAACCAGCTACACTAACAGCAGAACCAATTGCATGGAGATTATTTCCTCCATTTTATAGATGGGAAAACGAAGGCTATAGAGGTTAAACAGCAGAGCTGGAGAACAGGTTTCCTTGCTTTTTAAGTCCGCATTATGCCATACTACTTGTGGTTATTATGCCAAGGGAGCAAAAGTTATGCTAAAGATTAAAAACAAGAAAGAAACAGATTTTTTAAGATTATGGGAAAAATAAGTTTCCCTTAATAATTGATTTTAGATGTTATCTATACTTTCAAACCACTTTGACAAAGTCCACTATTAAAAAGCCAGAAGGGATTTTTTTTCCCCAGAAAGGTAGGGGCAATTTATTTGTTTCATTTCAATCCACGTGAACCCACAAAAGGTGTGTTTTCCCCTCTGCATCCACAGTCCTCAGGACAGCATAGAGCACTGAGTCCCTTTCCACACTGAGAGTTTATTTCTACGTGGAACCCCAAACTTAAAAATCATAGAAATAAAGAGTTGGGTCTTTGCTTTATAAGACAATTCACTACAGGTTTTATTTATCTATTTATATAGCAAGGATATCAAGTGAATTTTGCATTTCATTTGACTTACACAACCTGGAAGTTAGAAGGACTTTTCAGGAACCCATAGACTTCCAGAACCTCAGAGTTTACCTGTAATCCATGCCACACAACTGTGCGTTGATGACAATGTCCTGGCCAAAGTCGTGCCCAAAGTCCTGTACTGCTAAGTTAAATCCAAGGAGTTAAACTTTGATGAAGTCATCTCCCCTCCCCACTTAACTGTGATTTTGCTTCTGTTTTCTGTTGTCGCCTGGATGAGAACACCCTCACTGGACGTTGGCCCTAACATCTGAAGGAGGCGTGCCTTGGTTTGCTGCTGTGTCGTTTTCCCGGCAGCAAAAGGGCTCCAGCTCCGGACCCGGCCTGAGCTCCTGTCCAAGCCTGCTCTCGTCCTACCCCTGCCCGCCACCCGCACCCTGAATCCCCTCCACGTGCCCAGCTTTGCCTGACGAAATCCTGCTCCACTAGGCCTGAACATCCCTTCTCCACGAAGACTTTTCCTGTCCCAACAAAACCAAGAGCACCTTCCTCAGAGCTCGCTCCAGCACTTTCCCCACACACTGCTTCTGCGCAGTTAGCTGTCCGCTGTCATCCTCCCGGGGTGAGCTGCCTGCGGAAGAGGTTGTGCTCCTTCTTTCTGTCTTTAAGGTTCCATCGCTGCTCTGGCAGCACCTGGTATGGACAGACGTCTGCTGAAGGAGCGGAGTAACGAGTGAGTGGATGGATGGGTCCAAGAATGGATAATAGGGATGACGAGCAGGGCCAAGCTGTGTGACCCACAATGACAACCCTCCTCGAGAGTCCACTCGTGCCAGGTGCTGTCCATGCACAGGAACTATGGCTAGTTCCCATTTCATGGAAAGAGGCTGTGACAGCCCAAGACAGTGAGGATTCTACCCTCACTCTGTCACTGAATCAGGCTTCCTCTTGTGACTCCTTATAGGAGTCAAGTCGAAGGTCAGCTGCCCATGGAGAGGGGTTAGGGAGGAGGATGGGGAGATGGGGCAGGGATGGGGGTTGGAGGAGTGGCACTTGCAGGAGTGCCATGTGACCCAGAGCATACCCCGTCATGCCTAACGTAAGCATTCGCCAGCGTGGCTCTGTCCTGCCCCCTTTAAGATGGGTAATTGGGTCACCCTCCCCCTCGCCCTCCACACTGCAGACCGAAGTTGTTAATGTACTAGAAATGCAAATTGAGCTAAACTTAGCTTAGCTTCATTTTCCAGAGGGCATCTTTCCCCCTCCCTGCAGTGAATGAATTTACATAATTTTAATTCTGGGAGGAAATAATCACTCATCCTTTTCAGAAATGAGCCTCTTTAAGTATGTATTTTTGCCCTCTTCTCTCATCGTTTGCAAGCTGAGTAGCAGTTATGCTGTATGGTCTTTGTTCTCCTCTCAACACTGGTAGACACAGCAAATCTTAACAAAATGGGCAGGCAGGTGGGGCAGCACAGGAAAGGCTGGGCCGGGGTGTAAGAGCAGAGGAAGAGCAGGAGCCCCCTTGTCCATGGCCACACCTCCCTGCTTCCTATCCAGGTGGCTGCCCAGTTAGACCAGCTGACATCAAAGCAGGTTCAAAAAATATTTTAAATTAATAAAACTGTGCGGGCAGGAATCATACAATGTAAGACATCCCAGGTCTATAGGTGGACAGATCAGGTCGCCTTGCCCCTTGCTGTGAACTTTTCCATTTGGAAGATGAGAATAATAATATAGGACCTATCTCAAGGGGTTACTGTGTGTGTCCTTTTGATTTTTTGGTAAGGGGTTGTTTGTTTTAGGATTGCATGGGCTTGGAGACATGGTTAAGACAACACAATAGTGGTTCCAACCAAACTGACCAAGGATGGACACTCTTATCTTTGGTTGCCATCCCTTGACTTGGTGGCTAGTTGACCTTCTCGGTGTGTTATTAGATCAATGTTATCTCTTTTGTTGTACCTTAAGCCTCATGGTGACAGGGGCTAGTTTTCTGTATGAGCCAGATGACAAAACTGCACATATGTAGGGACTTCGGATTCTAGTTTTTCTTTGCTAGACTGCGTCCATCCAGTTAGTTGCACGTTTCTCTGGCCAGGCTGGTGAGGGTGCAGCAGGTGCTCTTGGAGTTCCTGCCTGGAGACACCCGCTCTTCTCTAAGAGGATGCTCAGTCCTCGGGCTGGGGCTCCTGTCCCCTGGTCATAAATGCCCAGTGCTCCTCACCCCTACTGTATAGTCTGAGTTTTCCAGAGGTGTCTGCCTGACCCATGCTGAGATAGTTGAATTATCTCTCTGGAGGTTGGGATTTGGAAGAGAAGGGCAGAGCCTGGGATTCACGCACATGGCAGTGCTGCTGCTGAAAGCCAGACCTCAACTGCCTGGCACACACACAGTGTTCAATAAAGATTAGCTTTATTATTATTGATATTTTTATTTATAATTCTTCCAATTATCCTGCCATGTATTAATAACTATTATTTTCTCATTCTACAGATGCAGTAATGAGCACAGAGAGGTTCAAAATCTATCCCAAGGCCAGAGTAGTTGAGCTAGAACTCAAATCCTGCTCAGCCTGTTACTGAAAACTCGGCCACTTGTTCATGAGGCTGAATCAGAAGAATGAGGACAAATGGTTTGAGGAGGAAGGAAAGAGATGTTTTATTACTTTGCCAGCAAAGGAGGAAAAATGGTAGACCTTCTCAACTCAAAATCCCAATTTCCTGAACATTCACAGAAATACAGAGCTTCTAAAGGATGGACTCACAGCTTTGGGCAATTACTGTTCAACTATAGTTAATAATAGTTATTAGTTATTATAAACTAACAGTATAATAGTTATAGTTATTATAAACTATAGTTAATAGTAGATGATCACCCATCTCACTGAGGACCTCCGCCCATGATCTCTTTTTACCAGGTCAGGCTGTTGCACAAATAAACAAAGGTCTTACCCTGCCTCTCCCAACCACCAGCCTGAGGCAGGGGTGCAGGCTTTAGTTCTCAAAAAGGAGTGGAGGATGTTTTAAAGAGACAGAAAATATTTTTTGCCATTTTTTCCCCGGCGATTCCTCTGTTACACATTCCACTGTCAATGTTTCCCTGTCAATCTTATCTACGGGAGGAGGGGCGTCCGCTCTGTTACAAGTCTGTTTGCGAAGTCCTGCTCTTCCATGGCACCCTGAGCCCTGTTCGATGGGAGCACAGTGACCTGCCCTCATAGTGCTACTGAAAGGAAGAGCTCACTCACAGAGTGTCCAGCGAAAGAGGCAGGCATGAAAGAGTACATACATACTGTATGTTTTGAAGTTCAAAACCCAGTCAGCTTAACTATGGTGACAGACGTCCAATGAGTGGTTACCTTTGGGGCAGTGGGGTGTGGGGGATGGGAAGGGCACAGGAAGCCTTTGGACGCTGGTCACAGTCTGCACCTTGATCTGAATGCCTGCTACACAGACATAGTCCCTTTGTAAAAATGTAAGGAGCTGTGTGCTTAAGAGTTGCGCATGTTATTACTCTTATGTTTGTTATACATCAATCACAAACTAAGAAAATAAGGAGCAAGAAACAAATAAAGGAACTGAATTTAGGGAAAAAACACTGCCCCCCCCTTATGTTAAGTCAGACTATTTTTACTGATGAAAACTACTTTTCTAACTTCAGTAGAAACATAATCGCTTTATTCATTTCCTGTGTTTTTTTTCTCAAACTCAATTATTTTTATATGTATATATTTATATTTATAGTTACTATCATAGATTAGGTGCTAATTTTTATTTCACTGTCTTCATTTAGTAGTTAGTAATCATAAGCTTTTTACTACTGTGTAATTATCAGCTAAATGGCTTGTGATAGCCCATCCTCATATTTTTTCAATAATCCCATCTGTCTTCTTTTTTTCTCATCAATCAGGCCAGAAAGCTGTAATGACTGTGAATATTCTAGAAATCACAACCATTATTATTATTTTAACTGGTTTATTTATTTATGTTTACTACTCTTTAATGAAATTGTTCTTGAAGTATAGTACACATAAATAGAACCACACAGATCCTAAGTGAGAGCCTGATGGATTATCACAAAGTGAACACACATGTGTAGCCACCACCCAGGTTAAGAAAGAGAACGTTTCTAGCTCCCCAGAAGCCCTACCCCCACCGTGCCCCTTCCTAGATGCTCCCCCTACTTCTCCCCAAGGCACCCACATCAGAGATGTGTCCACTCTGTTAAAGCATTACAGGGACCACTGAGACCTCCTGTAACCACAGCCCACTGTCTGCATTGACGTGATTTTGTCATTCCAAGAGATTCTTCCTCAGCAAAATAAAAGTATAAATAATTTTACTGTTTGTTTCAGGTACTTCCTCAAATCCATTGACCAAGACAATAGACCACTCTTGTAGACATCATCAATCAACCCCTTCTCAGGACAAGTACTAGGCTCCTAAAGTGAAGAGGCTATGCTATATAAGTAAAATATGCATTAAAAAAAAGAAGAAGAGAAAAAGATTTAAAAATAAATGCAGAGGCTGTGTAAAATTGCTGTTGTTCTTTCCTTAAATGTTTGGTGGAATTTATCAGTGAAACCATCTGTTCTTTGTGGGAACATGTTTTATTATGAATTCAATTTCTTTAATAGATAACAGCAGTGTTTCAGACATCCATTTCTTTTCTTGTTATTTTGGTCAGTTGTGTTTTTCAAAGAATCTGTCAAGTTGCTGAAGTTATTGGTATAAAGGTGCTTATAATATTGCCTGATTCTCCTTTTAATATCTGTAGAATATGTACTTATTCTTTCTTTTTTATTACTAACATTAGCAACTTTTTTCTCTATATTTTCTTTATTATTTTTGGCCTTACTAACTTTTCTACTTTTTGTTTTCTGTTTCATTAACTTCTGATCTCATCTTTATTTCTGCCCTTGTACATCGGGTTTAATTTGCTTTTCTTTTTCTAACTTTTTAAAGTAGAAATGTAGAGCATTGATTTTAAAAGTTTGCCCTTTTTTTTCTCATATAAGTATTTAAGGCTGTAAATTTTCGTTTAAATACTTTTTAGCTACATTCCACATATTCTGAGTTTTTTATTATTAAATTAAAAATATATTCTAATTTTACTATTGAGTCATAGATTGTTTAAAAGTGTATTTCTTATTGTCAAGTTCTTGAGGGATTTTTCTAGAAGATTTATTGTTATCAATTTCAATTTCAACCTGGCCAAGAACATACTTTGTAAGGTTTTAATCTTTTAATATGCATCGAGGCTTATTTTATAGACAAACATATGGTGTATCTTGGTGAATATTCTTTGTGCGTTTGAAAAGAATGTGTATTCTGCTGTTGTCAGTTGGGTTTCAATTACATAAGTGTCAATTAGTTCAAATTTGTCAATAGGGTTGATAGTAGTTGATAATTCTTCTATTAACTACTGAGAGAGGAGAGTTAAAATCTCCAATTGTCATTTCTCTTTTCTTTTAGTTTGGTCAGTTTTTGCTTCATGAATCATTGCAATTTTGAGCATATTCATTTGGGATTGTTATGTCTGCTTGATGAATTGACATTTTCAGTGTTTAGGAGCACCCCCCCCCTTTATCTCTAATAATACTCTTTATTTTGATACCTACTTTGATATTAATAAAACACACCTGTTTCCTTATGCTTAGTTTTTTGATAAAGCATCTTTTCCTAACCTTTTAAATGATCTATGTCTTTGTATTTAAAATACATCTCTTATAGACAGTGTGCATTTGGATCTCGCTTTTTGTTGTTGTTGTTGTTGTTGTGAGACAGGGTCTTGCTCTGTTGCCCAGACTGGAGTGCAGTGGCAGAATTCATAGCTCACTGCAGCCTTGAACTCCTGGGCTCAAGCTATCCTGCCTCAGCCTCATGAGTAGCTAGAACTATGAGCACCTGCCATCACACCTGGCAAATTTTTCCTGTTTTTTGTAGTGACAGGGTCTCACTATGTTGCTCAGGCTGGTCTCAGACTCCTGGCCTCAAGTAATCCTCCCACCTTGGCCTCCCTAAGTGTTGGGATTACAGTCATAAGCCAGCACACCCAGCCAAATCTTGCTTTTATATTCAGTTTGACAATTTCTTCCTTTTAACTAGAATGTTTGGTCCATTTTTATTTAATATAATTACTGATATGGTTTAAGCCTAGCATTTTGCTATTTGTTTACTATTTGTCACATTTGTGCAGTTTTTCTTTTCTCTGTCAAATCTTTCCAAAACTAAGCTAAGGGTGCATCACCTCAATCAGATCAGGGATTCAAATTATCAGAAGCCTCAATTCTTGGAAGAGATGGTCAGTTTCTCATTTACTGCTACTCCTAGAGGGTAGCCCTCCATATTTTCCAACTAAAAGACTTACACGTTTTCCAAACCTCTCCTTGTTGGAGAACCATGAACCTTATTTATTTCCCTTTAGTCCTGTGAGAATCCCCAAAACTCTATTTAGCTTCTCGAAAGCTCAGCTTTTGCTTTTGGAACCAACAAGCAAACTGAGCAGGAACGGAGCTGCACTTTCTGGTCTTACTTCCCTTGGTTTGCTGGATCTTGCCCTAGCAAATCTCTTTGCCTTAACTTTCTGATGCCTTTGAATAGGCTTTCTTTTTCATTTTGTTTAGGTTTTTTATGGTCTTGGGCAGGATGGTTGGTCTAACAAAACCTAGTCAGTCGTTGCTGAAAGCAAAACTCACCTTTATTATTTATTTTTATTATTATTTTCAGAAAAACCAATTCACAGACACCATGGCCTCATCTGGAAATCTAGCCTCCATAACTTACTGCTGTATAACTTGGATAAGTCATTGTCCTGTCCTGAGACCTGAGTTCCACCACTGGCCACTCAGAAATATTTTGTCCCTTATGTATTCTGGGGGCACGTTGCAGGGGTTAATATCCAAAAGGATTTTTTTTCTTTGGCTATTGTTTATCTGATAATTTTTCAATTCTATAGGAGAAGCTGCTTCACTAGTAAATTATGTAATTAAGGTGCTGAGGCAGTTAACAATTTTTATTCTCAGGAAGCATCAATTCTTTTGGTTTAATCATAGTGTGATATCGATAGCAAATTTAATTTTGCTCTGTGCCCATATCCTCTATAAATATCATTAATTTGCATTTTAATTTATTTTAGCACCTTAGAGATGTATCCAAGCCTCTAGTGACATTTTTCAGAAGAGGATTTTAAACAACACTTCTATCCAGTCCTATCAGATATCTTCTTTATGGTGTTGTTTTCTCAGGGTTGAATAAATGATATGCCATGATTTATTTATTTAGCTTTAAAGAGTTTGGTTTAGGAAGCATTACACTGGAAACATGCAAGTAAATGTGGTTTCAAGTATCTTAATCTGTTTGTCATTTTGTGGACTGAAATTTTGATTCCTTTTTAATTAAACAAAAGGGACATGTCATGTAAGAAAGAAGCCAATAAAACTAGAACCTGGAAGGAAGGATGAGATGAGAGAAGCTGGCTGAGAGTGTGGAAGAAGAGGAGGAGGCACTTTGGGAGACAAAATTAGTCATGGCAAGGGCAATGGGCTAGGAGTAAGGAGACCTGGGTTCTAGTCTCAGGACTTCTCCTGGCTGTGAGGCCTTGGATAGGTCACTCCTGCCAACAGGAAGCTCAGGAAGGTGAGAGTAGGGACAGCAGTTCTGAGCAAGGCCCATGTC